TGCACATCGATGTTGACATCAATTATTGTATCCAACAAACGAGCAAGAAGGCGCGAGGCAAGTCGCCAATTTCAATTGGGATGTTAGCCTCACCGTCGATGAACAAATTTGCAACACACCACCTGCAGGGAAAGTCTGAAGGGAGGCTGGAGGCTTGCTCGTTCACTAACAACATCGCACAGACAAGGGGCGGAGCGCTCGTTGTGCAGGCAAGTGGTTTGCCCCTCAGCAACACGAAATGTCCACTTCGCCAGTACATTTTGTTCGCCTGATGTTCTGCTGCATATTCCGCATTCGGGAAGTGCTAGGCTGCTGGTAGTCATGCTTTGTTGGCAGTCCATGAGGATGACACCACCGGATGGGAAGGAGTGTTGCATTGAATTTGGCACCATGTGGTGCACGACAATGCTAGTAGCTAACCGTTAGTTGCTTAGTGTAAGGGCATCAGTTCGTCCACATTAAATGTTCCCTAGCCTTTGTGCATTCCATGAACAGGATTGTTTCCGCCTCAACGTGTTGGACATCATTTGGCAAGGATTACAATATAGTGCTGATTGTATTTGCTGGCGGAGGGTTTGCTAAGGAAGCGTGCGCTCTAACAACAACGCGTTGGAAGCCTAGAAGCTGTAGCCAGAATGGCGACACTGCAAAGGCCACGGATGATGCAAAGCCGCCTTGGGCAGATCGGGGTCGGCTCACATCGACAAATTGTATTGAATGTAGTTCCAGACAGTTTATTGATACGCTCGCGTCTGGGCGCTCCTGTACCCATCCTCGACTGAACGTGAGTGCATCTGGCGCAGGGGAAGTCGCAGGCGGATGTAGTTAACTGCGCCTTCACTAGCAATTCAGCCAGCTCGGGAGGATCCATCATGTTGCACGTGAGTAAAATTAAAAAGCCACCGTCACAATGCCGTCACGGGCTTTACTACAGGTCGTCGGCACGTTCAGAAACGTTTGTTTTGTACAACCTGGATCCGCGCTTTGACCACATTCTGTATTTATCCTTTTCGAACTCAATGTGAACCGCAATTTTGAGTACACGGTCTCGTTGGCGAGCTTGTGTTGGATACCTGGCATCGGGGCAATGATAGCATTTAACGCATGAGAGCGGGGCGACTCCGTAATTCTGGCATTGAATGAGTGGGTGATCTAGTGAATGACGAGGAGCGAGCGACGAGGAGCCTGATAGCCGTATGAGATAGGACGTGAGCGTGAATCTTGTGAAGACAGGCATAGCATAGCTTGCTCACAACGAGCTTGTTGCGATATCCAACATGTTTCGTGATCGGATCGTGTTACGCTGCATGGAATCGCATATTCAAAAGCATGGGCAGAACGTTGAGCCGATTGTGAAGCAAACATGCTGGACGGAGATCTGAGTCGAACTTTCGTATTCGCTAAAGAGGCATCAACGCGCTCTTGGTGCTATTTCGCACGCGCTGCGGGGCGTCTGCAAATGCGATGCTAAAACGAGTGTCGCCCTTTGAGGTGCGTGGAGGCGAACTCAATTTGATTGCGCCTGCGCAGCATTTGATAGCGCCCCGCCTCGGCAATATGCAAACAGGAGCCATGGAGGGAGATATATCAGTCCTGGTGACGCCGCCTTTGCCACCGCTTTCTTATGCAAGCTATCACTAAATGTCCTTAGATGTCGCCTGCGTCCACCGCTGCACCATGTACAGCACAATTTCCTCGATCTGTGGAAAATATCTCAAGACTGATTTGTGTCGGTGAAGCAGAAAGGATCAACTCTCAAGGCCACAGGCACAACCTTCTACAAAAGCTCTGCTCATGGACATGGAGGTGCTGTCAGTCTCCTGGTGAGTGGAGCCGATCTTAAAGCGCAGCACTGAGTGAACTTAAGTCATGAGATCCTTCGCATATGCCTGTCTGTTACCTTTGTTGCTTCTGCTGCAGTCCTTTCCGCTCACAAGATTTGCTCCAGTTGCTTTGCGTTACGCACACGTGAGTTGGCAATTGTGCATCCGTATTATCAGGCTCTGTCCCATCTTGGGACATATAAATTCGCTTGTTTACGCTTTTAAGCAGCCAGCAAGGCAAAAGGGTTGATGGCGTTGTTACCCAAGCAGAAATCAATAATTCGCAATGGTCCCTACGCCAATGGTTACTGTGGCTTCAGATGCTGCCTTTGCTATATGGCTGTTCTCTTTGACGATGAGACCCGTGCATGCGCGTGTAGTTAACTCTGCATAATATGTGAATGGACATGTACTTCCTGCCTGAGATGAGTACATGGTATACATCAGTATAAGTGGTCTGAAGCACTTGTCTAGACAAAGTGGTACAACACAGTACAGCAAGCGCTAAATATCGTTGCATTTTCCCAAAAATATTGTTCTGTGTCATTCTTTGAAGATTAAGGAAGTTTGGATAATATGCGGAGCGATTTTCAGCGTGCACATTTCATGAATTGCACAATTTGTGTCCAGGGCGTACTCTCTTTGGACTAGCGTCCACTCAGATATGACGAAGCACTGCCTATACATCTTGCGGTCGATGCCTCGAGGAAATACATGGGGAAATCCACACATAGATCTTGGTGAAGATATCGTCCGAAATTATCTTGATGAGGATATCGAGGCTTTTTGTATGTTGGCCAGCATGGGAGCATGTGAATAGGAAGCCTGGAAGATTCAACATGCAAAGGTCCAGAAAACAGAAAAGAAAATTTGAATAACATTGTCTAGAACGGGCATCATGGGGAAATGTGTTACTTAAATTTGTGTGATAAATATGTGTTTTTGGTGAAATACCAAATATGCTTTTCCTCTTTCCTGGAAATCGAAGAAGATGGGGAGACCGTACCTTGGATGTGTATGGTTGGCTTTATCTGGAATTGGAAGAGCTAACTGAACAATGCATGCTAATTTTCATATGATTATTTTGGGAAATCTTCACATAACTGAGTACACCGCTGAACCATGAATCTCAGCAATGGATGATATCATCGTATATATCATAGAGATATCATGATATATCGTATTCATGAATACGCCGTGCATTTGCTGCTGACGAAAGCGGAGTGTATTTGACACCTGCTGTGCATGGCCTGCAGAGGGGTTGCACATTCGAAGCATCGGGATGCGAGTTCAAGGAAAATTCCGCGGGATTCTTTGGAGGCAGCATATGCATTCTGGTGAGTTGAAAATGCGGCGCAAGAGCGGGCCTAGTGCTTACCATGGCAGAATCGACTCGAGTCATTTGTCTTACCCAGAAGGGGGCTAAACAATACGGACCAACTCTGTTTGGGAAAAATCTACTTGTGGACCGAGAGGTACGGAATCCTATGTACTCAAGGACGAACTTTAGGGATTACCATGGGCATATGTGTGGAAACTCGTATGCCTGGTTTGCTTCTGAAGAAATATGGGAAATCCGGCATGCACCATTGCGAATCGGCTGCGTTAAAAAGAATTCCCAAAATAATTAGCGCCATTCGCACTGTGTAGAGTTCAGTGCCAAGTCGTGGCAGTGCAAATCGATGCAACCAATGCATTATTTCTTACTTCGCAATGACACTTCGTACCCATGGGGTTGCAGGATCCCTTGTGCATGGGTTGCTCCTCCGAGAATGCTTGAAATGATGACTTTACGAGGCAGTACGCCAACGCCCATATCTGGATCCGCGATGCCCTCTCTGCCGGTTCAGGTACAAATCGTAAAATTCCTGCTCACCGGAACTCTCAATTGAACACCACATTTCGGTGTCACATGCTCAAGAGATGAAAGGCATTTCCTATAAATAGCACATAGGTGATAGTGGCAATTTATCCCGAAGATACTTCACTCCTTGGACATATCCAAACTGCCGCGTTTTGGCCGTGGGGAATATGGAGCATCGTGATCAATTTTTAGGCAAGTGATTTGTTTCTAATGCTTGGAAATTTAGGCCAAGTGGAAACGCTCCCATGATTGGTTTCAGAAGCTCCTGGAAAGCGCACTGCAGTACTAAATGCACCAGCTCCTTCCAGAAGAATTTCAAAATTGACGTGCATTTGACGTCATTTATTTGATTCGGGAGCGCATGCAACGCGAGCTTGCCACATATTTCTGTCTGAATGCGTCCGCAGCAGCGACAAGCACCAGTACAGCCCAGCTGCGTAGCTAGCCAATTGGAATGAGTGCGCTGGACATGCGAAGAAAATCGCAGTCGTCCCCCCAGACTGTTGTGCATGCACACAGAGGATGAACCCTGCCTGCCTTTTTGTGCCTCTTTCAGGAAGACGCGGTGCTATCTCTGAACGCGAGTTCTTTCACCGGCAATACCGTGAAGAGTGGTCAAGGAGGTGCAATTGCCGCCAAGGTAAACGCGCTAGTGGAGCACCGACAACAACATATCCCCATGTTCACCGCAGCCACAGGCGTTGCTGAGACCCACGACGCAGATCTGCGCTGTCGTCTCTGGTGATGACGGCCCGACGTGTGTTGATGCGCCGGAGCACGCGCTTTCATTGGGCGCGGAGGCAGAATGCGCCATTTTGAGCGGACGCTGCGGTGCACGCCAGGATCGTGAATCATTTAGAATGCTTGGCTTCCTGGCGCAGTCCGCTCCTGCAATCCGGCCGAAGCTTGACGCCCGAAAACTTCCCGTTGCCTGATCACATCGACATATAAAACTGACAGTCCATTCACGTGAACATCACCAGGTTCCTCTCCAAAGTGGCGCCAGCACCACCATAACAATCCAAAATTCGACACTCGCCAGAAACAAGGCGCTGTCTGGTGGCTTCGTGGGTCCCCAGCTGACGTCAAAGCTGCCAGCTTGGGGAGGGGCGCTGTTTCTCGGAGTGCCGTTTCAGCCGTTCGGGCGCCGCCAGGTAGAAGAGGGACAGCTATCCTGCCACCTGACGTCCGTGGCCTTCGAAGAAAATACGGCGGTGAATGGCGGTGCAGTGGGATTTTATGAGGGGTCCCTGCTGTCCATGGCCTCCGTCCGTTTTGAGCGCAATACGGCAACGGACGGTGGCGCCGTGCACATGCAGCTGGAGAAGATCATAGATGTGCGGATGTATGCCGTCCCCGTGCACTACATGAACGGCACGAACGTGACATTTCTTGATAATGTGGCGAAGCGGGATGCGGGAGCCGTGTTTGTCCGTTCGCTTGCAAGACCCGAAGACAGTTCAAGACTGGGAATATCTCCCGATGGGATATCCCTGCTGACGCCAGACGGAAGACGGAACAACGAAGATGTCGCCTTCTTCCAGGACAGCACGTTCGTTGGGAACAAATGCAGAAGGTATGGCGGGGCGCTGTTCGTGCTCAGCACGACAGTTGGATGCTCGCGATGCGAATTTGTCAACAATTCTGTCACCATCAAGTCGATTAGCTTTGGGGGTGCGGTTGCGGCGCAAGTCCTGGGGACATTCCACGGAAGGGGCTTGGTCATGTCGGGGAACAAGGCACCCCATGGCGGAGGCATCGGCTGCCTCTACGCCATCTGCGACATCGTGAACGCCACCATTGAAGGCAACTACGCGTCTCAGAGGGGGGGCGGAGTGGCCATCCAGTTCCGTGCGACGCAGCTGTTCGACTTCGCGCTTGCCAGCCGCTTGGAACAGTGCATCATCAGGAACAACACCTCCAAAGTTGCAGGTGGGTGTGGCGCTTGTGAGCTTCAGGGGAAGAAAACGCCATTGCAATTTTTCCCGGCGTTTTGCAATACCCGTTCCAGCAATCGGCGTTTCCCATCGCACGTGACATGCTTCGCTGTTTCAGCTCTTCGCTTCTGAAGCACCTTAGCGGCGCAGCTCTGAAGGCCTGCCGCAATGCTAAAAAGAGACATGCTTCCAGATTGGCTCGGAGTGCAGCGCATTGATGCGCATCGCTAATTTCTTGGTCATCTTCTTTTCAGGTGGCCTGCTGTTGCTGGTGGTCGGGGCAGACGTGGCGAGGTCACCACACAAGGAAATATTCCAGCAGTTCTTCCTCGTAGTGGCACAGTCCCAACTCATTGGCAACGCCGCAAAGATCACCGGAGGCGCCGTGTACACGAACGCGCCCGACTACATGGCCGTGCTCTGCGACCAGCCCTTGGAAAAGCGGGAGGTGGTCAGGTCCGTGGGTGGCCAGAAGTGGCTGGAAGTCGCAGACGTGGTCGTGCCCAGGCAGAGCAGCCTTTTTGGCGGGTCGGGCGCCTGCGCGAAGATCTGGGCTGACAACACTGTGGAAAAGCAGGGCAGGGGCGGCCCGGTGGCCACGTCCGGAACGTCGGCAAGGGTCTGCGGCAGCCGCTCCGGCAGCTGCGCGGTGTCCTCGAGGCGGTGCAAGCGGAGCCCTCGAAAGTGCGACGGGGAGGGCCTGTCGCTCGCCATCGCGAACCACACGAGCGGTGAACTCCTGGATGCCTTCGGAGTCGAGGTGTTCGACCTGTTCAACCGTCCGGCTCTGCAGGAGTCGGGTCTCAAGATCACCATGGGCACCGGGCGGAACGTGCTGGTGACGGGGCAGGTCAGCGCGCCGCTGAGGACGGTAACCAACATCACGGAGCTGCGCTTCCAGGCGAAGCTGAACAGGACGTACGACATGTTCGTGAACTTCAGAAGGGCTTTCATCCCGCCGGTGCTGTTGAGGGTCCAAGTTCGAGGCTGTCTGCCCGGCGAGGTGCCGAACAAGAACGAGGACCTGTGCGTGGCCTGCGGGGAGGACATGTACAGCTTCTCCCCGGAACAGGGATGCGGTGCCTGTCCGGAGAACGCACGCTGCGGGGCCTCGACGGTCACCCCGGAGGCTGGCTACTGGCAGGCGACCTCCGTATCCGCTAGAATGCATCTATGCACTTCGAAGCCCGCCTGCGATTACGAGGACAGGGGCTCCATTCTGGCGGCTCGAGCGAGGCAGGCGCATTCTGGCGGCGGGTTTCTGGGATTCGAAGATGGCGAGTACCAACAATGCTCCCAGGTGAGCCGTCGTACAAGCGGCTTCAAAAGTAAATATATCTGCCTGCAAACGAGGTCGCAGCATTGCGTGCAGAAACATTGAACTGAATTGCGTACTGGAAGGCGTGGCGGCATATTTGCTACCACGCATTAGACTATCAGGACATCCGCCTGAAGAAGCCGCCAAGTGAATGTGCAGCAAAGCAATGTCGTTGGTCGTGTATTCGTGCGTACTGCTGGCTCAATCTTACACAATGACGGAACCTGTGTTCGCAATCTAGGGCTATGGCGGGGTGCTCTGTGGCACGTGCACCAGCTCTTACGGCAAAGTGAGGTCCGGGGAGTGTATCGACTGCGGCAACAGGAGAAAGAACATCACGCTGGCGTGCTTGTGCGGAATTTGGTACGCCATCATTGTATTTGCAGTGGCCAGGAGCACGTTGCCTGCAGAAAGAGGCAACGCAGCGTTGGCGCAGGGCAGACCCATGCTCACTGCGAACACCAACCCCATGTTTCACGGCAACAACCTGACTGCCCGCATGGAAACCTCAACCTCCACTTCAACAGGCTACGATACATCCATCGAGCTGCAATCGATGGGAGGCAGCATGAGGTCTCCGGTGAGGATCGATACTGGAAGAGAGAAATGCGGCGCAAGGACCGAAGGAAGCCCGTGTGTGGACCAGAGGAACTTCGCCGGTGACATCTTTAAGGTGAGGGAGCTGGGCACGTGGCCTGGCATTGACCTGGATTCGGCAGTGAGCAAGCAAAACACAGCACAGGCAGCATGAGATGGCCGGACGTATGTCCAACATTCTTTGCCACTGTGGACCTGTGCGCACCAGACACAAGTAAACAATGGACCAAAACCCACGGTTTCGAGCCATGTAAAAATCGTGTAAAACCATATCAAAACGTGTGAAAATCATGTGTACACAACCGTTACTCCACGGTTTGGTCCCATTTCGCCACAATAAATATACCATTTGACACGATCTCTGCGTGGTTTTCAGTCGTGTTACCCGGTGTTCGATTTTCGAAGCCTACCTTGTATTTTGGCTTTTTCTCTGCTAGTGCGAGCGCCATTCATCGCCGCTAACTTCTTCTTGGGTGCCAGATTCTCATCAACTTTCTTCAAGTGACGGCCATCGCTGTTTACATCAACGTTGATTGGACCAACTCCATTGTGAAGTCGCTGGGACTTGCAGGTGAGATGCCGTTTCCCGAGCGTGGTAGCCAATTTCCGAAGACAGGGCCACTGCACGAAATGGGCATGGCTGTGGCGGATCGCCAAGACGCCGCACCGTTGTCGATGGCACCTACGCGCCATCGGTGAAGCGCGAATGAAACTTCTTTTTGGTGCTTCCGTCGCCTCCTCGCCAAAAAGATATTGTTTCATTGAGCGCACACCCTGCGCAGCTGGACAAAGTCCACATGGCCGTGTCCCATACCTGCCTAAGTCGCTGCAAATTGTCCATCTTAGGGAAGACGGGAATTATGGATTGCCCGCGTGGAATTTAATCGGCACGGCCTGCATGCCCAACCAGGATCCCTGTTCGACGAAGTGACGTGAAGGAAAACTGAATCGTGTGCATGTGCGCTCCACCCCAGATATGTTGGCTTCCGGCAGCGAGGGCTTGTTCTCGCTGGAGTGCGTCTTCCCTTACGACTCCGCCCACCACACCACGCTCCGCACGATCGTCAGCCTCTCCGCCCCCCTCGCCGTCATCCTGACGCTCTTCGTCCTGTCCGCCCTCTTGGGCTGGCTGAGGTCCAAGGACGTGTCCCGCTTCTGGCGCGCCATCGTGCCCGCCGTCTTCTACGTCTCCTACATCGACATCACCCGCAACGCGCTGCGAATCCTGGACTGCGTGGACGTCGACGAGCACGTGCAGCTGTCCCCCGGCGTCGTCTCCACCCTCTCCACGTATTGGACGGAGGACACCAGCGTGGAATGCTACACGGGCACGCACCTGTACCTGACAGCAGCCCTGGCGGTGCCCTTCCTGATGTCGGTGACCTTGGGCACGCCAGTTTTGCTTCTGGTCGCGCAATGCAGGCGCAAGAGCCGCCGTCGGGCCGGGAACTGCGACAGCTCGTACGCTGAGCCGTACGGGTTCCTGTACCGTTCCTACCGCGAGGGGTGTCACTACTGGGAGGTGGTCATCATGACCCGGAAGGGCCTGCTGGCGACCCTGACCGTCTTCAGGCTGTCCCTTGGGGCCAACCTGCAGGCGTCCCTGGCGCTGGGCGTGCTGGGGGTGGCCTTCGGCCTGCACGCGATGCAGCGGCCCTTCGTCGAAGACGGCCCGAATTTGAACAAGCTGGAGTCCATGTCGCTGGCGTGCTCGGCCTCTGCCTTCTTCGCGGCCATCCTGCTGAACGACCCAAACACCTCGCCAGCGGGCGCGATCCTCGTATCCGTGAGCTTCATAATCTGCCTGGCGTGCGTCTTCAGCTGGCTGGTGCTTTCCCTCGTCCGCGAGCTGGCCAGGGGGGTGGAGTCGGCCCTGGACAGGAAGAAAAATCGATCCAATTTCCACGTCAACTTTGTGGAGAAGACCGTCGCGCAACCCGTTTGATCGTTGGGTACTGTTCGTGACCAAAATGTTGGGGTGCCGGCACCAGAGCGGCCAGGGGTGCTGGCAACGGGAAGGCGACTTCGACACTCCTTCTGCGCGTCGTACCTCGAGGATTTCTCCTTCATCCAGTACGGGATTTTATGTTGGTCTCGTACGATTTTGAAGTTCGGGGAGTTTGGGACGTCGAAATGGGGCGGTGAACCAAAAGGAAGGCATTAGGTAGGCACCGTTGTGGCCCTTGCTGCGACTCACAATCGCTTTCCACCACTTGTATTATGGCGTAGAGCAGTGCGTAGGTAGGCCGGTGATCGCTGCAGCGGTCCGCCTTTTTTTTGGAACCGGCATTTTATTGTTATGATTGGAGGCCTTTCTGATAAGAAGAGAAAAATTGTTAACCAGCAAGAATAAGGAAATGGCATTTTTGGCCCATGGTTTGGCTCCTTTCAAGGACCAGTCACCGTGGCTCCCAGGGATGAACGATAGGGATTCGCTGGATGTGAAAAGTGGGTGGGTGGGTAGGTGGGTGGGGTGGGGTGTGTGGAGGGCCTGCAGCTGGGCATGACAGCGGCCAAGGCATAAAAGGTGGCAAGTTGGGCCTCCGGGCCTAAGGGCCTATTGATGCAGCAGGCAAGAGTGAGCACAGGCACGAATACTGTCATGGCACTGGCTTGGTGCAGCAGTGGAAACAGGGTGGGAGGGTGGGCGGGCGTGCAGGCATAACATTGCCATGTGCGGGGCATGAGCCCCTATATGAGTTGTGCATTGACAGTGCACATATTGTTTCATTTATTTGGTGCACAGAAGTGGCAGGGCGGGAGGGTGGGTGTACGGCATCACATTTCCATGTGCAGGACATGATCCCCGCTATGACTTGTGCATTGACAGGGCACATATTGTTTCATTTATTTGGTGTACAGAAGTGCAAACGGTGGCTCTTGGAATACTCTCTGGTGCAATGAGGGCGTGCTGGGCGCCAACACTATCAGCCTCAAAGAGCGTCGCAGCAAGCCTCGCAGGGCTAGGAGCCCCATTTGGTGAATGCATCATCTCCAGCAAACTGCAGTCACAACTGCTCCTTGATCGAGGCAAAAGTAGGAATGGGACCTAATACTGTGACCTGCTAAATTGACAAAGATCTCCATGGGTCATCTCCCTTGTCAGCAGGAAAACAGCTTTAGTAAAAACTATGAAGCACGTGGTATTTTGCACCAATCAGTGGAGGCAGTTTCTGTGAAGATCTCCACCACACCGACGCATGCACGTTCGTAGCTGATAGCTGACTCATCAGCACTGTGCTTAGTCGACCTGAGAGTGCCAAACGCACCTCGCCCAGTGCATCCAACGTTTCGGAAAGGGTCATCCAGCTTATTGTTCAAACATGTTGCAACTTACATTGCTCGTCCTTCACAAGCACAGTCAAAGGTGGAACACTCACTATGGCCAGCTGGCTGGCTCTCAAGACAAGAGAGGCAACATCACTGCTCCCACACTCCAAACACCTGAGGTGATTTGTGCAGGGGCAGACGAATGTTTGAGCCTAAGCTTGATTGTGGTTTATGCCTGTCAAACCTGTAAGGTGAAAGGGTTGCGTTTTGCCATGTGTGGACAATTTAATCCCAGGAATCACTCTTGAGGCATCATCATCATCAAAATCCATGGATTGAGGCAGCTGTGATTATGGTTCAGTGCCCTAGCAACTCTCAGGGGCCTTTCCACCTTGGCCTCCTGTGTACGTTTCTCGTGGCCAGGCCCAACGTGCCAGAGCACTGTGGAGCTTGAATAAACACAGTAATAACAGACCTTGCCTCCTCATCCACCCTTTCTGCTGGTGCCTGATCAGCCCACTGGCTCATGGCATTCACGTTTTCCGCTCCATTGCGCCTCCTTCGTTTGTCTTGGCTGTTGATGCCAAACATGGAATGATGGCATTCTTTTGATCGTTGGGACGAAGCTCGCTGCCAAAACTCTGTGGCCTGTCGATGGACTGTTTCTTACACTGCCACGCCAAATTGTGACGAACAATTCACGGTTGTAGTTAGTTCTGTGTAAGAAGCTGAACACTTCACCATCAGGTTGCAGTTGCCTTGGTCTCGGCCTGGGGGTGTGTACAGTTCAAATTAACTTTCAGTGCAATACCGGCGGCACATAGCAGGGCAAAGGGCAGGGTTGCCTGTCCTTCATGGGTCGGAATGGCTGGAATCACGGCCCGGGGGATCCATCCAGCCATTTTCCCAGCTCTTAGACTCTACCCATGAGCTATCCGGAGCGCGACTGCATGAAATCACTCAAAGCTCCCCCCCCTGGGCAGCGCTTCGATCGGGCCAGCCATCCTCTCGGGATCGCCCACTCCCTCCGAGCTGGGCCAGGCGCGCGCATACGTTCCAGCCCCTGATCCACTTCCGTGCGCCGCGGACAAATGGCGTCAAAGGGCGTCGGGCGGATGCCGACAGTGCCGGCAACAGAGGGACAGGCAAGGCGGCCGACGGCGTTACATGCGCGCGGCGTCCCTGGCGGGCTCCGAAACGTCAGCCACCCGCAAAGGCCCGCCACTGCTCCGGACGGCAGAGACCGGCGAGGATCGGCACTCCCAAACCCTCGAGGGGCGCGGCAGGCCGAACGGGGGCATTCAGTACATTATGCACAGCAGCAGCAGCATTTATTTAACATTATGTACAGCCTGCGAACATTTAATGCAGTGAGCATTAATGGCGGGCCAGCCCATCAAACCATGTGCTTTAATGCGTTGGCTTCCGCTTGGGGCGGCGCTCCGCTGGGGCGTGCGAGTGCCAAGCACTCTCCCCGCCGCGTTTCGTTAAAGCCGCCGTGTACCCCCCCACGTGACCGGCATCATTCCCGGGCCCCGGACCCCCCGCAACATACGGTTCAATGGGGCGTGTACCGTCTACCACCGTGCCCCGCCCCGCGTGCGCCAAGTCGCCAAGCCACCGCGCCCTGACCCATCGCAACAGGGCCGCCGAGCGCCCAGTGGCGAGGAGTCTGGCAAGCCTCTGCGCAGCGACAACCGCCAAGCCAATTTCGCGAGACCCGCCGTCTCGCAGCGCAGAATGGCGACAGAGCGCCGAAAGGCCCTGACAACGCCGATCTCGGCAAACGCCGGCCAGCATGCTCGA